CACTTCAATGCGCTAAGTATTGTTGTTATTGATCTCCTCATTCCCAACCAACATTTGATCTATCTCCAGATGCTAGAAGTCCAAACACTGAAAAAGTAAGCGCTGACCTGTTTCAAGGTGTGAACCACAAAAACACGTACTATCGATGTTTAAATGCATCAATTTATCATTTGTAAGAAGTTTAGACTGCGCAGCCAACCACGGCATGAAGGAGTGTTTTGGAGTGATGTATGGTCTCCAAATCTCCCCCTCCATGTCCTTTTCTCCCCCTTCGGCCTAAAAAGCTAATATGCACCGTCTATGCAAAATCGGCCTGAAGCTGTCCAGTTGGTCAGTAAGTTCCGACCCTCTATGATGATTTTGAACGTCCAATAGCTTCTTGATCAAAGGAGAGTGATCTTTCATAGTTTGCCCCACGGAGGTAAATTTGATTAATCCATAGTTTGCCTTTCTTATTGTGGATATTTTAAAGGGATTTTTGAAAGTAGTGCTGAATTCCAGCATTTTGTCTCTAAATCCAAGTTCACCCTCATGTTTCGACAAACAAACATTACTTCAAGCAACCAACAGTTTATTATTATCCCAAAGGAAGTTACGGCATAAGGTTGTGATCTTTGAAGCAACTGTGGCTGGGATTGGAAAGATGGAAAGCAAAAAACATTCCGTTCCTTGGAAAGCAATTCTTATACGTTTCACTCTTCCCGCATAGGACAAAGATGCCTTAGACCAAGGACAAATGTAAACTGTGACTTTGTTGAGAAAAGAGTCATAAGAGCTGATTTTTAACTTCTCCACGACAAGTGGGATCCCCAAGTATTAGAATGGCATTGAACCCTTGGACATTTTAGTAAACTAGTAGTTCTCCTCAAGCTCTTGCCCATGAGCCCCCGCCGACACAAGCTAAACTTGTTGACATTTATCCTTAATCTTGACATGTCTCCAAAATTAGACAATCTATCAAAATACCAACGGATATTGAATCTCCTCTAGCAAGAGCATCAAATCGTCCGCAAACAGCAATTGTGTAATCTTTAAAGGGCCACATTTGGGGTGATAGTTGAACTCAATATTCTCTGTAGCTCCCTTCAACATTCTTGAGAAATACTCGAGGCAAATGACAAACAAAAATGGAGAGAGAGAGAGTCACCTTGACGAAGACCATTTTTCCTTTTAAAGAATCCATGGATGCTACCATTAAGCGCAATTGAATTCGACGGAGTAGAAATACATTCCATCACCCAATCTATGAACTTCGTAGGAAAGCCAAGTCCATGAAGCACATCCATGAGAAAGTCCCAATTAACTGAATAATATGCCATTTTAAGATCAGTTTTGGGAAGACATCTTAGAGCAACTCTCTTACGAGTGTATTCCTAAAAAGCTTTTGACCAAGATGGATATTTTCCGTCATACTCCTATCTTCCACAAACGCACCTTGAGCTTGATCCACAATGGACCCAAGGATAGACCCCAACCAAGAAGCAAGGATTTTTGTGATTACTTTGTAGAGTACATTACAACATGCAATTGGTCTATAGTCACCAATGGATATAGAGTGATTTGCCTTGGGCACCAAAGCAATGACCGTGTGATTCGTATGCTTGAGAAGAGAGGTAGAAGCAAAGATTTTTTTAATTGCCGCCATGAATTCATTGCCAACAATATCCCAAGACTTCTTGAAGAAACAAAATGTATATCCATCGTCCTGAGGACTTATCATTGCTAAAAGAGTACTGATACTTCACACCTCTAGGATTAAAATATGAGTTTAAGTGACATTAAATAACATTAAATAAAAAGTACAACTAAATGAGTCTCAAAATTTTATCTTTAATAGAGTATACCTAGACTCGTGCACCAATGGTGCAAAATGGCATTATTCTTTATGAAATATTGTCTAACAATTTTTAGTGCTCTTTATGAAGAATCATCAACTCAAACATGAAGTATTCGCAAAATTAACAGATTACGCGAGTGTATCATATAGGTATTAAGCTCCTCTGCTAAGCTCCTCTGCCAGGCCTATAAAAGGCCTAGCAGAGCCGAACCTCTCATGAGACCAGCCTCATTAAAAAATTACACCAACCACACCCACCCCACCCCTGTTTGTGTGTGTTCGGTAAGGGTTCTGCCTGTACACCAAGCTTCATCCATCATATAGATACAACGCACTCCAATGATTCTGTTACATATCTTTTGTCGGCTTGGCACTCACTTTTCTATTAACTAGCTAAATGCTACTTATGACCACGAAAACAACCGTATTACTTCAATTAAAACACGGTATTTACTATTACATTGTAGACAAAAAATCGCGAAGATCCTAAATCTTATGAATGCTGTAACCCGCATCCTCTGATTTTAAGCTCTCCCTCCAGTTCTCGAATTCAGATCCACCAAAAACCACTTGTTTGATTCCAGTATAACTGTTCATTACAAGTCAAAAGGATTACAGAAGATAACAATGAAAAAAGTGATAAAAAGTAGATATCTTATAAGCTAAAGGACCCACAAATTGTAGAGGACACACAACCGTGGGTACCCCAGCTTATAAAAAAACTGCTTTTTTCTGCCAAACATGCTCAAAATCTTACTCAGAGCTTATCTGTGTCAATGCATTGATCAAAATATCCAAGAGCAATGGTTCACTAGTGCCGATATCCACCCTGTCAATACAAGTCCCAATCGGCATTGATTCAGATATCTAGCAGAA